TCTTCCATCCACTACAGGAGATGGAGCCCCAGAGGTAGAGGGATCAAGGCAATGGGATCTCCCACTCTGATGTAAGGCGCTAGAAAGAACTGCAAGGGACGAAGTTGTAGTTGAGGGTCAACGCCTGAGCCGACGTCAAGAGGCCCAGGAGCTCCTGCCACTGACGAAGCGTCCTGGGGTGCGCCAGTGCCAGAGAGACCAATCGCTGTATCTTGCAGAAACGATCCCTCGGGACAAAGAGTTTGTTGACATCTGTGTCGAACACTGCTCCAATGAATTGAAGACGGCGCGTAGGGACTAGTTCCGATTCCTGCAGATTGATTAACCAGCCTAATTGGCAAAGAAGCTGTATCGCAAACTGCATGTGACGAAGCAGAAAGGGCATGATCGGTCTGCACCTGGATGCAGTCGTCGATGTAAGCCTCGAACATTATTCCCTTGCAGTGAAGGAACCTGGTGATAGACTTCGTTACCCATGTAAACAGCCACAGGGCCGAAGAAAATCCAAACGGGAGGACACGCCACTGATAGTGGGTGCCCTCGAAGACAAACCGAAGGAACTTGCGAAGAGCCGGAAAAATCGTGATGTGAAGGTACTCATCCTGGAGATCGAGACTGACCATGTAATCTCCCGGCTTGATGATTGTTGAGAAGAGCCACTGACACCATACGAAAGTGAGGTGGTTTTAGAAACATTTTATGGAAAACCTTCATATTGAAAATTAGTCTCAACTTGTCCGAATCTTTCTTTGGCACCAGAAAGATTGGCAAATAGAACCCCGGGTCGGTCGGAGCAAGGCCCAGGGTTCGATCGCAAGTTTCTGAAGGAGAGTGTCGATTGTGGGGTGTAGAACAGCCGTCTGAGATAGGATACGTTCGAGTAGGCAAGCTACCATGACAGCACTGAAGAAGTGTTGAATATAAGAGATTCGTGGCATGGAGATGTCGGGACCGTACACATTGTACACAGTGATGAAGGCCATATAAACAGTGATTGTATGAACGTTCGCCAAATGAAGTGTTGGTCCGCCAGATGGAGTGTGAAAGTTAGTAGATCGAACGTGTCTGGAGTCTATGGTCTTTTTTACCTCTGCCATTCCATCAACTTCACCAATGTTCCGGTAGACTGACGACCCCCATTCGTCACCACTCGCCCCTTTCCGTAAACTCCAAGAAGACTCGTCCCCCTCTCGATGCTTGTTATGTGCGAAAATACGACAAACCAATCAAAACGCGCGTAAATGACCGGGGGGCTTTGATAAATATAGTTCCGAGTACTTAAATCGTTTATGGCATTATGTCATTGTTTAAAAAATCATGAAAAATATATATTGCCATTTTGGAAGTACAAAGAACGTAGCTAACAGGATTTTGCTGCCTATTATGAAGTTTTTAATAAGAATCATGCGATTGACGGTGAGAGATTCAAACACGCACGTGCGTTTGTTGACATAACGGCTCTCATGGGTCCAACTGAGTGTATTTCTAACGAACTTGCGGGCTTGTTATGGAGATTGTACGTGCGCTTCCAACAATTTTAGGAAATGTAATTTTAAATCGCTACGAGTTTCAAAACAATAATATTATATTTGTATGTAACTAATCAACTTTAATCTCAAACATTGGGCTTATATTTCACATCTCTGGGGATATTTTAGTCTGACTATTTTTTTGGTCATTCATATTTTCTTTCAGCGAATTCTTTTAAAATTCCACCTGTAGCTGAAATTTTAACACTTTTATTGGCATATTCAATAAAACAATTCCCATTTGTGATTAGTAAACCCTAATAGGAAATATAAAGGTTAACAGCTGGTAATAATTACATTAGAATATGTCTTTTACAAATATGTTTTTCTCTTTCTTTTAGTTGTATCAGAGAGGTTTAATTCTTTAAAATAAATAAGTAAACAAACCCCCAAAACAACCTAGCAATACAATGTACATGTGCTTCGGTGATAATTAAGAAACATTGGAATCAAACAGGGATAGAGTTATCGTTCTTGTTTAAAGTAGTTCTGATGTTCATGCGCCAATGAAATCCTTCCAGAGGGGCACGAGTCGATATTCGGCTTGTCCCGGAATAACACGAGTTGGTCGCGAATGTGACGATCCCATGCATCGTATCTACTAACTTTCACACTCCATCTGGCGAACCAACACTTCATTTGGCGAACTATACGTTCATACAATCACTGTTTATATGGCCTTCATCACTGTGTACAATCTGTACGGTCCTGTCATCTCCATGCCACGAACCTCCTACATTCAGCACTTCTTCAGTGCTGTCATGGTAGCTTGCCTACTCGAACGTATCCTATCTCAGACGGCTGTTCTACGCTCCACAATCGACACTCTCCTTCAGAAACTTGCGATCGAGCCCTGGGCCTGGCTCTTACCGACCCGGTGTTCTATTTGCCAATCTTTCTGGTGCCAAAGAAAGATTCGGACAAGTTGAGACTTATTTTCAATATGAAGGTTTCCTTAAAATGTTTCTACAACCTCCGCCACACTTCCGTATGGTGTCGGTGGCTCTTCTCAACAATCATCAAGCCGGGAGACTACATGGTCAGTCTCGATCTCCAGGATGAGTACCTTCACATCACGATTTTTCCGGCTCTTCGCAAGTTCCTTCGGCAGCACCCACTATCAGTGGCGTGCCCTCCCGTTTGGATTTTCTTCGGCCCCGTGGCTGTTTACACGGGTAACGAAGCCTATCACCAGTTTCCTTCACTGCAAGGGAATAGTGTTCGAGGCTTACATCGACGACTGCATTCAGGTGCAGACCGATCATGCCCTTCTGCTTCGTCACATGCAGTTTGCGATACAGCTTCTTTGCCAATTAGGCTGGTTAATCAATCTGCAGGAATCGGAACTAGTCCCTATGCGCCATCTTCAATTCACTGGAGCAGTGTTCGACACAGAGATCAACAAACTCTTTGTCCTGAGGGATCGTTTCTGCAAGATACAGCGATTGGTCTCTCTGGCACTGGCGCACCCCAGGACACATCGTCAGTGGCAGGAGCTCCTGGGTCCTTGACGTCAGCTCAGGCGTTGACCCTCAGGGGTCAACTACAACTTCGTCCCTTGCAGTTCTTTCTAGCGCCTTACATCAGAGTGGGAGATCCCATTGCCTTGATCACTCTGCCTCTGGAGCTCCATCCCCATCCCCTGTAGTGGATGGAAGAAATGAATGTTTGCGACGGAGTTTGTTAGGGCCGTTTGTTCCGTCTCACCACCTGTATGTGGACGCGTCTCAACACGGGTGAGGAGCCAATCTTCTCAATCAACAAGTGGCAGGGCTGTGGTCTCTCGTCGATCGCGCCAATCACATCAATGTTCTGGATTTCAGGGCGGTGATTCTTGCAATCAGTCAATGGCAGGATGTCCTCATGATCCGATTGGACAACGCAGCGGTGGTTTGGCATATCAACAGGATGGGGTCCACGGGGTCTGCTCAACTGCAGCAGTGGACCCAACAGTTCTTCGATCTGGTGGACTCTCTCAACATCTTAGTCCGAGCCAACCACATTCCGGGGATGAAGAATGTCATCGCAGATTCTCTGTCCCGGCCAAGTCGTCACTCTCCAACGGAATGGAAATTACATCCCCAGGTGTTCCAGACCCTTTGTCTTCCGTTGACGACTCCGACAGTAGATCTCTCCGCCACCGATTCAACCATCAGCTGCCTCAGTTTGTGTCACCGATTCCCGACCCTCTGGCTTGGGACCTCGATGCTCTAGCCAATCCGTGGGAGGACCTGAACGTTTCTGCGTTTCCACCTGTGGCCCTTCTTCTTCTCCATATTAGGGAAACTGTGTGCAACTAAGAGGATGACTCTGCTTTTGGTCGCGCCCTATTGGCCGGCCAGAAGTTGGTTCGTAAACCTTCAAGACCTAGCCGGACCACATCCCGTGCCATTTCCCGTTCGACCCTATCTCCTGGTACACCGCATTCCGACCAGCTACATTGGTCCCCGTTGACGCTCCATCTGCACGCTTGTTGCATCTACATCGGTCTTTAACGGCGAAGGGCTATTCTAAACAGGTGGCTAGTGCCATTACTACAGCGCATTGTACTTCTACGAGGTCACTCTATGATGACAAATGGAAGAATTTTGAAGCGTATTGCAGGAAGAAGGGCGTCTCATCCCCCACTACGGCCTCCCCGCAGATGTTGGCAGAGTACCTTCAGCATCTACGAACCTCCAGAAAACTCAAAGGTTCTACACTATCTACCTACCTGGCTGCTCTTAACACCATTATTGCAGCGGTATCGGGTGTGAAGGTGTCCACTGTCCCTGAACTCAAGTCTCTCCTCGGGTCTTACAAACTGGCTGACCAATCTCGGAAGTTCTAGCCTCCAGCTTGGGATCTTTCCGCTGTACTTGCTCATCTCACGTAAGCTGGTTACGAACCTTTGGAGGAGAAAGATTTCAAACATGTCTCCTTTAAGACCTTCTTTCTCTTGGCCTTGGCAACAGCTGCCCGTATTTCAGAGTTGCATGCTCTTGATGTTTCTCGGGTTCGGTTTGAAAGGTCTAGACATGCGAGAGTTTTCCTTGGTTTGCGGTGGGAATTTCTCGCATAGAATCAGTTACCAGGAGAGCCGGATCGCACATTCACGATTCCGCCGTTGTCCACTATCTTGGGCCCAGATGACACTGAGGATCTGTCCTTATGCCCGTTGCGTGCATTAAGGATTTACCTAGCTGCCTCACAGGATCGCCGCAGACTGTGTAAGAGATTGTTCATTCCATTGTCAGAGTGTTTACAGTCACCGGGATGCATCTGAATGTGCGTGAAACTGTGAGGCTTCAATCCCTGAAGTATCTTCACAAGGCCAATGATGTGGGAACATCTTTCACAAAGTCTAAACAAAATTGAATTCATATGAAGGAAATCTAAAGATTTTTTTTATAAAAATGAAATACCATTACATCAAGAAAAACATCTAACCCAAAATCATGTTACTTATTTTTAAGTGTATCAAAATGAACATGTAATGATATAGGTGAAATCACAAATAATCCAAATTCGATTTTCAGTAGATTCTAACTTTTAATTTTATTAAAGTCTTTACTTATAATTAATAATACATTCTGTGCTAGGCATGGTGTTTCATTGCTCTGTTGGTTGCTATATCCATACCAGTAATATGAAAAAGAAACGGGCACGAGAAGAGCTCACAAAGATTTACGAGGAAGAAAGGAAGAAGATTTTGGATGGGTATGAAGAAGCACTGTCACAATTAGGACAACTGGCTAGATCAATTACAGAAGTGTGAAATTTCACTGTCAAAATTGGGACTGTCAAAATCGGGACTTAACCATGTACATGCATGAATCAATTCATCGACTATAACCACGTTATCCCGTAAGCTACCTCTTTACGACAAGCATGAGTGTATATAGACCAAATCTCACCAGTATTATACGGGTGGGTAGTCTACTGAATGTAAGAAAAGGCAAATATATGTTGCAATATGGTTCAAACCATCACAGAAAATAGCTGAATGCATTGTCACGAAAAAATCTAACTGAACGCGAAGTCTAAAGTCCTCGCATTGGCTACAGCTCAAACCCAGATCTGCTTTTATCATTTGACAATTTCTCCTGAATTCTCTCTCAGATGGCGGCACATAATCGTCTATACTGTTGCCAGATCCAGCAAGGCCCATTTCGTACTCAAAACGGAAACCTCCCCAAGGTTCCGGAATTTCTACTGAGATTTGTCGAGTCGGCATTGTAGAACCAGCTACCCCAGGCTGTATTGATCAACATACGACGATGATTATTTTGATGATGATGATGGTGATTACTGATAATGATTCATGATGATGATTACAGATGATAACGAAGATAATTGTGATGACTGATGATTATGTTTGATGATGATGATGCTGGTGGGGATGATGATGTTGATCATTATGATTTTCTGTCTATTAGGCATCTATCAGAGAAGAGGACGTCGATGTAAACACAGGAATATTCAACACCAAGAAGCCTATCATGCTCAGGGTCCAAGTCCGTTCAGACGAGTAAGATGGCAAAGACCCAGTGTTCTCAGAGCCTGACAGCGCCGACATCCGCATCATCCAGTGTATTATCTCCCTTGTGTTACATTAAAACCAGGGACCATTTCACCAACGTGGCTTCGTTTTTAGTGCCAAGCTAAATGGCTGCCCAATTAAATGACCTTTATTTAAATCATTGAAACAAGACGCGATATCACTAGTTTGAATCTCATGCGTCCGACCATCTTTTATACATGCTAACACCTGGTTGCAAGCAACTTAATTCCTTCTAGCCGTCTAAATATTGAACAAAACGGTCTTTTTCCAATTCATTTACAACAGCGTTCGGTGTGGGTTTAATGAACTGAAGAGCATGTGTCAGCCCGAATATAGATCTTTGCCAAACTTTGTTCAGAAGAGTGACTTCAATTACGCTCATGAGCGAGAGACATTCTATGCTAGGCAGGTGGTAAATACATGGTACTGGTGACGTTACTCAAAAGATGTTGTCTCACATTTTTTATATTTCCGTAGATATTTTGTCAGCCGTTTATAATACCTAACAGAAAGAATGTATTCCGTTGGGGATTAACAACCCTTGACTTAACTTGTACACGCGATGATTTAATCCACGTTCAATATCCAGCACATGTGTATCAGTAGGGCACTGAGTCTGGTATCTGTCTGTGTCTCAAAAGTAGGCCCATACTTGAGAAATGATAATGATACGTCAAATTCGGTTTGGTAGCATGGATTGTGTATACATTTCAATTATTTTCTAAATTTAGATTTTTTTCTCAATTACTTCGATTATATACTGTTTAGTTTATAGTTATCTACGTATATTAAAATTACCTTTTCTCGTTATTTCAAGTAATTTCTCGAAATTTTGAGTTTGTTTTCAATACTTTGATTTAGCTTTTCAGATTGCGCAGAATTTTGATGATGACTTACGACATGAGACTTCTGGTGTAGAAGTGTATATTCTTTGTTTTAATAAAAAAAATATAAATATTAACATACTTCCCATCTTTTCTTGTCCCATGTGGCCAGTGCAACTGCGTCGCGTTCGTGGAGCGTAAAGATGCACCTAATAAAGGCACACGTGTTCCAATTCCTGGAAGTATGGAATAATTCTGTAACTGTTATCTTTGTAACTGTTCCTCGTCGCCAACGTAACCAGAGTGAGTTTAGTTTTACGCCGCTTTTAGCAATATCACGGCGGGGAAACCTGAAATGTGCTTCTTACATTTTACCCATGTGGGGAATCGAACTCGGGTCTTCGATGTGACGAACGAAAGCTTTAACCACTAGATCTAGGTTACCCCACCGCCCTCAAACAGCAAGAAAGCGGGCAGAGAAGAATGATGAAAATATAACAATGTTTTCACTAATTGTGTGATTTATTTCATGAACTTTCGATCACTTGATGAAAGTCTTTTTAACAATCCAGGTTGAGTCGCTTTGCTTGGGAAACAATATTTTAATAAAATTAATTTTAATTTTAATGTAGACGAAGAAAAGTCAGGTTGGCCTGGAGTGGGCATTTCTTGCACACAGGAAAATGCTTTATATGAAAGACAGTCGGACAGATAGACAGACAGTTTATTTACATGTGGCCAAAAGGCCAATAATACACAGCAAAGTGCAACATGGTGATAGTCCAGACTCGTGAATAGTTTACGAGTTCAATCGGACCGTCGCTGCGATTTTCAAATAATTCACTCTCACGTAGATGTGCGAGCTTTGCAGAGAAAGAAATAAGCAAGTTATTCATAAAAGTTTAAACGTATAATACATTAGGCAACAATAAGAGCGGAGTTTTATATCATTTCTCCGATATATCTATTCTAGGGATTTTAACAATAGTTGATGGCCTTGAAGCAAACACAAGCGATTCTAGAGCAGCATAATAGCGCATCCAGGGTCTGAAGGGTCTGAGGTTTCCCACATCACTTGTCAGGCCGGATTTTGACCTTGAGCATGATTGGTTTCTTGGGGTTCAATATGCCTGTGTGTACAGTGACGTCGTCCATTCCGACGGATGCCTGAAATGACAAACAGTTTAATAGTCTCCCGAACGAATTTAACCAGGAAGATTACAAATACTGACGGAAAAAATCAACGGCTCTTTATGTAAAGTTCAATAATAGTGATATATTTTCGCAAAATAATTTAAGTGCATGATACATGTGTTTAATAGACGCAGAGCACAGTGACCGTCAGGCCAGTAGGTGTTCATGGAAACAATCAAACAAACGAAAAAACTAACCCTCTAAACACCAAAACAAACAATTTTCGTTCACTGTTGTTTCACGTACACATTACATGGGTTACAGAAAAACAATTCTAACCCGGATCTTCACGGGTAAATACTTCTGTCCCTTAAGTGGTAGTCGTATACAAAAGGACCATGTCTGTTTATGTCATGTATTGTAAAGGATTCCGGCATTGCCACAAAGGTCAGCAAGTACGTCCAGTCTTAATGGCTCGACAGGTCATTTTCATGGGATTTAAACTATTACCTTTTTCATCTGAACCGACGACACGGAGGAAGCATGGTATCTATCCCTTATAATGGACTCACCAAGGTGTCCTCCGTTGCCACAAATTGGATCTTTTTGAGAATCCGACCAAGCGCCATCTTCATCTCCACCTGTGCAAGCCTCATTCCCACACACTGACGGGGACCATGACCGAAGGGGAGATAACTCATGGGGTCCATTTCAGACTTCCGTTCCCATCTAAATTGAGAAATAGTGCATTATGAGCTGAACATTTGTAACTACTGTGTTGAACAAGTCTCCTGCACACGAAACCCACGATTCATCCATTCAGAGAGCAGTAAAAAAGTAAACAAAAGCAATCCTGAAAGGATGAACTATGAACACTTTTTGTGTCCTGTCAGGTCATTATTCCATAACAGACCCGCAAGAGTAGATTATTGAAATTTCTACTCTCCATATCTATATTCTTGAAGGGATAGGAAACTGTGGAAATGCGAGTGAGTTTAGTTTTACGCCGCACTCAGCAATATTCCAGCTATATGGCGGCGGCCCGTAAATAATCACGTCTGGACCAGACCAGTGATCCAGAGCATGAGCATCAATCTACACAATTCGGATACGACTGCATGTGTCAACCCAGTCAGCGAACCGGACCGCCTGATCCCGTTAGTCGCCTCTTACGGCAAGCCAAATGGTGAGTGAGTGAGTGAGTGAGTATGAATATCACGGTGATGGACACCAGGAATGGGTTCACAGGGTGATGGTACCTACCTGTCAGGCTTGAAGCTTTCGGGGTCAGGGTATATATCACCATCCCTGTGTATCGAGACGGTAGGGATGTGGACAGCACAGCCCTTGGGGAACGTGAAACCCTTAATGGTGACAGTCTCCGTTACGTTACGTCCTAATCTGTAACATTGGGTATGGAGAGTTGGAGTACTTGCGTTTACTGTGAGGTTAGGGATATCCCACTAGTAAGATATGGTGACAGTGTGTGAGTGAGTATAGTTTTACGCCGCTTTTAGCAATATTCCAGCAATATCACGGCGGGGGACACCAGAAATGGGCTTCACACATTGTAGCCATGTAGGGAATCGAACCCGGGTCTTCGGCGTGACAAGCCAACGTTTTAACCTCTAGGCTACCCCACCGCCCTATGGTGACAGTGAAGAGAGCGTCTGCTGAAGGTTTTGTTTAAATTTTTAGTATGATATTAGCCCCATTTCTGGTGTCCCCGCCGTGATATTGCTGGAATATTGCTGAAGCTATGAAAACTAAACTCAAGTCAGCAGTGTATGATATTAGCTAAAGGGAATTTGTGACTATTCAATAAAGCTTGATATTCTAACATTGGATATTCAGAGTTTGCACTAACACGGATCTATAGCTTTCACATAGTCACGTACCATCCTCTACAGTCAGGGATATTATTGTGTCAATACCTGTGTTTTAGCGTTTAGCTTTCAGGTAGAGTACAGAGGGCAAAGAATTCAATGTCAGTGTTAAATTTGTGAAGCATGCATGTAACATAATTGGTCCTATCTGATTCTATACACGAACAAGTGAGACTGGTAAGACCTGGATCACATTTGCCTACGTAATCTACGATTTCCCGTACGATGTTTTAGACATCGTGGGCGACCGCGGGCTACGACGTTTGTGTCCACATTGTCTACGGGGATCGTGCGATTTCTTTGGGGACAGGCCGTGGCAAACCTGCTTGGAGGCTGCACAGAGATCGTACGTAAATCGTGCGATTTCCGTATGGTCTCCGCAGCTACTTGCACAGACATCGTACGGAGCCCTGCGGAGGCTGAGCAGAGATCGTACGGTGATCGTGCAGTTGCCGTGCGATGTTTGGGAACTAAAACATCGTGCGGCCTGTGCGCGATGCCACCTACGGGCTACAGGCTTACGTTTTTTCCAAATTTGTCAAATTCGCTGTTTGACAAAATCGTAGAGGCTACGGTGCCCGTAGAATCGTGCAATAATCGTACGGCCGCCGCCTGCCGCCGCACGGTGACAGCACGGAATTAGAGCTCCGGGCACATAAAACATAGGTCCTGGAGTGGCATTTCACGTAGGTAACACATCCCCGTGTGTCTCACCCAGATACAGCAGGATACAGTCTGAGAGTCTCCATGATCACGTGATCCATGTATTTCAGGCCGCCAATATTATCATAGTCTGGAGTTTTCTGAAAGACAAATGTCCAATATCAGAACACTTGTGAATATTTAAATACTTGTGATGGTTAAAACGTCTTTAGCCTGAGGATTGGTAAAATGTAGCGGTTGGTCCTGAAGTCAGGTACACAAAATGCCATGTCATAAATTCTGTAAGGAGTGAGTGAGTTTAGTTTTACAACGCTTTTAGCAATATTCCAGCAATATCACGGCTGCGACACCAGAAATGGGCATGGAACCCGGGCCTTCGACGTGACGAGCGAGCGCATTAACCACTTGGCTATCCCACCGGCCCAATTCTATTAGGAAATGGTTGGTGTAGTGTAAGTAGCAGGACGCGGGGTCATCCCAGAGATGAGTGAGAGAGTGAGTTTGGTTTTATGTCGCCTTCAGCAATATTCCAGCAATATCAAGACAGGGACACCAAAAATGGGCTTCAC